CCCCAGAGATCAGGGTGATCCCTGATCTCCCTTCCTTCCGCCGCGCCCTTAAGACATGGTTATTCCAGCTTGCGGGACTGGCCTAGGGGAAACTTTTAGAGGGGGTTTTAATTATATTTTAATTTGACCAAATTCAAATATTTCCCTTTTAACTAATTTTTAAACTTGTAGTGTTATTTTTGTATTTTTATCTGATTGTCAGCCGCCCTGAGTCCGCAAGGAGAAGGGCGGGATATAAATTTAAATAAATAAATAAATAAATAAATGGTGGAGAAGGTGTTGAACAATGAGCAGGAGGACCCATATTCTGGTCCACCTTCAACAATGGAAATTCAGTGAGTGACTTTGAGCCAGTCCCTCTCTCTCAGCTGCCCAGCCTCACAAAAATAGGACTTGTACCCCAAAAACTGGCCCCGCCCCCACTCTACCCCCTGCCCCGCCCCCATCCTGCCTGCCCGCAGGGCCATTCACCACCTCCAGGGCCCACTGCAGATCACCCAGGCAGCCCAGCAGTGCCATGGCGGCCATGCCCTCTGCCCACGCCCCGCAGCATCAACTGTGCGGAATGGGGCATGAGGGAAGAGTCTTGTCTACACTACCTGGCTGCCATGTCCTTGGCTGCGCTGCTCCGTGTGGGCCACGCTCAGGGGCAACTCTCCTTCAAGGGGGCTGCTGGAGAGGAGGGGGTCATGGGGAGATGCGAGGTTGGGGCAACGGCACGTGTGCCCACAGAGAGGGCTCCGAGTGCTGCCTCTGGCACCCGTGCCATAGGTTCACCACCACTGATCTAATCCAACCCCCTGCTCAGGCAGGAAACCCTATACCATTTTGGATAAATGGCTGTCCAGTTTCTTCTTAAAAACTTCCAGTGTTGGAGCATTCACCACTTCTGGAGGCAGGTTGTTCCACTGGTTAATTGTTCTAACTGTCAGGAAGTTTCTCCTTAATTCTAGGTTGCTTCTCTCTTTGGTTAGTTTCCATCCGTTGCTTCTTGTCCTGCCTTCAGGTGCTTTGGAGAATAGCTTGACTCCCTCTTCTTTGTGGCAGGCCCTGAGATATTGGAACACTGCTATCATGTCCCCCCTCGTCCTTCTTTTCATTAAACTAGACATACCCAATTCCAGCAGCCGTTCCTTATATGCTTTGGCCTCCAGTCCCCTAATCATCTTTGTTGCTCTTCTCTGTACTCTTTCTAGAGTCTCAACATCTTTTTACATCGCGGTGACCAAAACTGGATGCAGTATTCCAAGTGTGGCCTTACCAAGGCATTGTAAAGTGGTATTAACACTTCACATGATCTTGATTCTATCCCTCTGTTAAGGCAGCCTAGCACTGTGTTGTCCTTTTTGGCAGCTGCAGCACACTAAGCTACAACGGTACTTATGACCACTGCAGTATCCCCATGGTTACGTGATTTACATTTGGATGCTTGACAACTGACTCACATTTATGACGGTTGCAGTGTCCCGGGATCATGTGATCCCTTTTTGCGACCTTCTGACAAGCAAAGTCGATGGGGAAGCCAGATTCACTTAACAACCATGTTACTAGTTTAATAACTGCAACGATTCACTTAACAACTGCTGCAAGACAGGTCAAAAAATGGGGCAAAATTCACAACAAATTTCTCACTTGGCAACATAAATTTTGGGCTCAGCTGTGATCGTAGGAAAAGCAGCATAATTATTTTTTCAATAAATAAATGGAAACCAGTACTACAATGGAACTCTGCAGTTGGGAGAGGGAGAAATACTGTTGACTCAGTTTTCCACTTCTGATGGAAATAATGATTCATTTCCATCTTGTACCAGGACTACTGGTAAGGCTAATTATGTTATTAATACTAATTACCATCCAGGCCTTAGCAGGTAGAAACATCTAGCAGTTTAGGGGTAGGCAACCTTGGCTCTTTTATGACTCGTGGACTTCAACTCCCAGAATTCCTGAGCTAGCATGGCTCAGCTTGGAAACTCTCCCTTTCCCCTCAGCATGGCTGGCTCAGGAATTCTGGGAGTTGAAGTCCACAAGTCATAAAAGAGCCAAGGTTGCCTACCCCTGATCTAGCTGAATCAAGCCTGGTTAATAGTTGGATAGGAATTTCAGAGCTGCTGGTTGGATTAAGGCAGTGTTTCTCACGTTTGGCAACTTTAAGAAGGGTGGACTTCAACTTCCTGAATTCCTCAGCCAACCTGGCCTGTTGGGAAATTCTGGGAGTTGAAGTCCACTCAAGTGACTTACGACCATTTTTCACACTTACGACTGTTGCAGCATTCCCGTGGTCACGGGATCAAAATTTGGTCACTTGGCAACTGGGTTCATATTTATGACGGTGGCGGTGTCCTGGGTTCATGTGTTCATCTTTTGCGACCTTCTGACCAGCAAAGTCAATGGGGAAAGCCAGATTCACTTAACAACCGTGTTGCTAATTAAACAACTGCAGGGATTCACTTACCAACTGTGGCAGGAAAGGTCGTCAAAGGGGGCAAAACTCACTTAGCAACTGTCTCGCTTAGCAACAGAAATTTTAGTAGTAAGTTGAGGACTTCCCTGTCAGGCAAGAAATCTGGACTTGCCCGTTTCCTCGTAAGATGCCCTCAAAACATCCACACAAATGGATGATTACAGTAAAGCCCTGTAGGACTCCCCAGCTATTATACCTCACCCGGGGCCTTCTTCACCTGTAATGAAAGCAGGAGATCTCGTGGCTTGCAAAACTGTACTTGTCTTGGTTACTCTTCTGTATGGTGAAGTCCGCCATCTTGGAGTGAGTTCCAGCCATAGTCATCTGGACTTGAAGCCCGGGATTTGGCTGCACATCAAGTCCCACCTTCCAGTCGTTGTTCACGTCAGATGCTGCTGCGTGAAGCACATCAATGCTAGAGCTTTGTAGGGAAGTGTGAACCTTCCTCTGACACTTCATTTTGGCTGTCCAGTCAACGGCCACCAAGGGAAGTCTCTGAAGAGGCCTATTCTGCAGAAAAGGGTTACGGCACAGGGTGCAGGTGCCGTCAGCTTTCTGCCACTGATTCAGATCCAACACTGTGGCCTTCTTCTCCAGTGTGGTGATGTCCAGGCCTTCTGCAGCCAAGCTGTAGCCAGGCACAAAGTCTTTTTGCTCGTCACATTCATCGGCTGTGCTGACGTGGCAATAGGGAGAGACGTCGGTCAAGAAAAGGAGGAGGAAGAGAAGCTGTAGGGTGAAGGCAGCAAAGATGGGCTTGGTGCTCGGCATGGTTGATTCTACACAGGAAAAAAACAACAACAGACTATGAATTCCAGAAGCTGCATGAAAAACGAGATTTCAAAGTGGAGCGGCATTCATCAGCTATAACACTGCATGAAAAAGAGATATAATTAGTTTAAGTTCCCCCCCCTCCCGATGCACGATATAGATATGCCTACTGTTTTCAAAAGGGTCATAGAAATTCTTAATAATTATTAGGCATCTAAAGCAGGGATTCCCAATCTTAGCCACTTTAAGACCTGGCTGGCTGGGGAATTCTGGGAGTTGAAGTCCATACATCTGAAAGTGGCCAAGAATGGGAACCCCTAGTCCAGGGGTAGGCAACCTTGGCTCTTTTATGACTCGTGGACTTCAACTCCCAGAATTCCTGAGCCAGCCATGCTGAGGGGAAAGAGAGAGGTTTCCAAGCTCAGCCATGCTGGCTCAGGAATTCTGGGAGTTGAAGTCCACGAGTCATAAAAGAGCCAAGGTTGCCTACCTCTGCCCTAGTCTAAAGCATTTTTCAACTAAATGCAATCAGAACAAAGCATCTAAGTTCAGTCTAGATCAGTGAACTTCTTTTCAATCTCACCAGCTTTAAGAGATGTGGACTTCAACTCCCAGAATTCCCCAACCAGCATGCAGTTGCTTCCTCGCTACCACTTTTCAAACCAGCCACATCAACTAGTTTTAAATCTGAATTCTGCACATTTGGAAGCAGAGGCTTCTGTATGGGAGCTTAAGAACATCCGTAAACTCTTCCAGGTCTCCTTCCTCCTTGCCTTTTTTTAAACCAGACCTATTACTTAAAAACGTTCCTTGTGAGAGAAAAATTGCATATCAAGGTTGTAAATGAGAGGACCCACTGAACTAAGGACATGCTTGATACACTCCGATTCTCCTACAAAGGAGATCTCAGCTACTCAGCCAATCATAGCATCACAGAATGTAAGGATTCGAGGGGATCTTGGAGATCATTTTTCTCAACCTCAGCAACTTTGAAAGGTCTGGACTTCAACTCCCAGAATTCTTTAGACAGAATGCTAGCTGAGGAATTCTGGGAAGTGAAGTCTGCGGGTTCTAAAATTGTTGAGGTTGAGAAATATTGATTTAATCCAGGAATCTCCAAACCTGGCAACTTTAAGACTTGTGGACTTCAACTTCCAGAATTCCTCAGCCAGCATGGGTGGCTGAGGAGTTCTGGGAGTGAAAAGTCCACAAGTTGAAGTTGAAGTCCACAAGTTTTAAAGTTGCCAAGTTTGGGAACCCCTAAAGTCTAACCTCTTGCTCAGTGTCAGAATCCTCTCTTACAGTAATCCTAACAGATCCACTCTCCATTTAAACATGTTGAAAAAGGTAGAGCTTCAAATTGGGGTTAGCAGTCTTTCTGCTACTAAAACATGCAAGCTATTTTCTCCCACATTTAGAATGGCAGCCAAAGCAAAATCCTTGGCAGAGGAGCCTAGACCAGGGGTAGGCAACCTTGGCTCTTTTATGACTCGTGGACTTCAACTCCCAGAATTCCTGAGCCAGCTATACTGGCTCAGGAATTCTGGGAGTTGAAGTCCACGGTCATAAAAGAGCCAAGGTTGCCTACCCCTGGCCTAGACTCACATTTTTATTGTCCTTGATTTTTTTTTTCAAGAAAAAAGAAACTTTTTAAAAGTATTATCGATATCGGAAGTTTTATAAACAATGTTATCTGCACAGCCTTTTTGTCCATGAAACCTGTCGGGTACCCCATCACATCCACACATGGGCTGCCTCTCACTCTTAAAAAAAACCCATGTACAATGTATGAGGTAAACTAAACAGACATGCTCAGAAGTACAATTAAGGAAAGAATAAGTATCGGCTATAAAATTGTGGCATTAAATTTCTCCCCATTAAAGGTGAAGAGATCCATAAAATATTCTAATGCTCATAAACCCGATTGGAAAGTTCTTGCTAATGTAAATTCATTTGTTTTCCATTCCTAGGTGCAATTTTTCTTTTTTGTTTTTGCCTTGGAATAATATTTGACTCCAGCAGTATGTGGATTGAGAACTTCCAGAAGTACAGGCAGGATTTCGAAGAGGCAGAGGAACTAGAGATCAAATTGCCAACATATGCTGGATCATGGAGAAAGCTAGGGAGTTCCAGAAAAACTTCTGCTTCATTGACTATGCTAAAGACTTTGATTGTGTGGATCACAACAAATTGTGGCAAGTTCTTAAAGAGATGGGAGTACCAGACCATCTTATTTGTCTCTTGAGAAACCTATATGCGGGTCAAGAAACAACAGTGAGAACTGGACACAGAACCACTGATTGGTTCAAAATTGGGGAGAAATTCTGTTGCCCTGCCTATTTAACTTATATGCAGAGCACATCATGAGAAAGGCAGGGCTAGATGAATCAAAAGTTGGAATTAAGATTGCTGGGAGAAATATCAACAACCTAAGATCTGCAGATGATACCACTCTAATGGCAGAAAGTGAAGAGGAACTAAAGAGCCTCTTGATGCGGGTGAAGAAGGAGAGTGCAAAAGTTGGCTTGAAACTCAACATTAAAAAAACCAACATTATGGCATCCGGCCCTCTCAATTCCTGGCAAATAGATGGGGAAGAAATTGAGGTAGTGACAGATTTTATCTTCCTGGGCTCCAAGATCACCACAGATGGGGACTGCAGCCAAGAAATTAAAAGACACTTGCTCCTGGGAGGAAAGCTATGGCAAATCTAGACAGCATACTAAAAAGCAGAGATGGTTTTCCCAGTTGCAATGTATGGCTGTGAAAGTTGGACCATGAGAAAGGATGAGCGCAAAATAATTGAGGCCTTTGAACTATGGTGCTGGAGAAGACTCCTGCCAGTCCCCTGGACTGCAAGGCAATCAAACCGGTCAGTCCTAGAGGAGATCAACCCCGACTGCTCTTTAGAAGGCCAGATCCTGAAGTTGAAACTCCAGTACTTTGGCCACCTAATGAGAAGGAAGGACTCACTGGAGAAGAGCCTGATGCTGGGAAAGATTGAGGGCAAGAGAAGAAGGGGACGACAGAGAATGAGGTGGCTGGATGGAGTCACTGAAGCAGTAGGCCTGAGCTTAAAGGGACTCCAGAAGATGGTAGAGGACAGGAAGGCCTGGAGGAACGTTGTCCATGGGGTCGCGATGGGTCGGACACGACTTCGCAACTAACGACAATATTTGAGAAAGATGAATGATGGTGGCTTTGGAGCACCAATCGATCTTGACATACTTATTAATTTAAGATACACTCTGGCTTTTATTCAGGAGCTCATTGTGGGATGTCTAGGATTTCTTCCTCCTATTTTTCTCCACAACAGTCCTGCGAGGTAAGCTGGGCTAATACAGAATGCTTAAGACAGATAGCTTAAGTCTCCATAGTTGAAATTGGACTAGAACCCACTTCCTAATACAACATAGTAACCTGTTTGGCAGGTCTCAATCTGGCAGGGAAAAGCATGCCTATTTTATATGCAGAAATTGGCAGATGAAAAAGGGTTTTTCACATCAGGGGGTGCCAAGAAATCACCCCCAAATTGTCCCAGATCAGCCTGCTGCTCAAGACACAGCTTACAAAGCCTGCAAAAGAATTCAGCCCAACAGCCGAGAATGGATGCTTGTTAAAACTGTTTAGGATTCTTAAACTGCTTCCTGCCCATCTCAATTAGAGCCAAAAAATTAGAATAATCGAAGCATTCTGCTCATTGCAATGTTCCTTCCATACTTCTTCTGCCCCACACTTACCCTGGATTTAAGCATGGACCCATGAATATCTCTCCATAAATACATACCTTAGCGGGAGAAGGAGGAACACATGTACGCGCACCCTCCGAAGTCTATCTGCCGGTGACTGAAAAAGAAAGTCAGCTCATCTGTGATGCAGCCCTTGTTTAAAAGATGTAAAGCACGGTGTGTGTGTGTGTGTGTGTGTGTGTGTGTGTGTGTGTGTGTGATGACTCTGAGGTTTGCACACAACCTCACATAGGCGAGATCTCAATTCACACCTCAGCTTGCCTTTTGCCCACCAATGAACTTGTTTATTCATTTCTGACGCCAAAGAAATGAGCGTACACATTGTCCCCTCACAAGTTTGTATCTTCACCTCAACAAAGGCTGAAAAAAGAGGTTTTTCGGGGTGGGTGGGTGTTGAAGCCGGGTCTGAGAACACTTTAATTTTGTTTCCTCCTGTCCCACAGACCTGGCCTGAGTCACCTTACACAAACCTCTTTCAAAAAGATAACTTAAACCACACACTGAGTGTGTTAGCAGGATATCCTAGAAACAAAATTTAAATGTACATTTAAAAATAACACATAACATGTGTAATGCTGACAGAATAAGTAATCGGGATCACTTTTTATTAACTTAAGTGATGAACTCATTTGCAGTATCAGAAAACTGACATTTTGAAATTTTGTGAGGCCCTGCAGATTGTGAAACCTTAAGCTGTAGCTTATGTAGTTTATGGCTAAATCCAGCATCTGGTCACAGCATCTGTAAGGAATGATACCTATTACTCCTTTTAATTGGATTTGCCCTGGATTAAACTTTGGTAATCATATTTACCACTTTACAATGCCTTGGTAAGGCCACACTTGGAATACTGCATCCAGTTTTGGTCACCACGATGTAAAAAAGATGTTGAGACTCTAGAAAGGGTACAGAGAAGAGCAACAAAGATGATCAGGGGATTGGAGGCCAAAGCATATAAGGAACGGGTGCTGGAATTGGGTATGTTTAATATAATAAAGAGAAGGACGAGGGGGGACATGATAGCAGTGTTCCAATATCTCAGGGGCTGCCCCAAAGAAGAGGGAGTCAAGCTATTCTCCAAAGCACCTGAGGGCAGGACAAGAAGCAACGGATGGAAACTAATCAAGGAGAGAAGCAACCTAGAACTAAGGAGAAACTTCCTGACAGAACAATTAATCAGTGGAACAACCTGCCTCCAGAAGTTGTGACTGCTCCAACAGTGGAAGTTTTTAAGAAGAGATTGGACAATCA